ATTGATTCATTAAGAAAATAATTAACAGATTATTTCATAATGAACAGAATTGTTTTAGCCCCACTTTAATTAACGCCAAGCTAGCGTCAAAGGACGAAAAAAAAAAAAAAATCCATGATTTGGCCAAATAGTTAATTATCAATTCAGGGCAACTCAGTTGTTTGTGTACACAAAACAATTCAGACGATATCAACTGTGGATAGAAAATCTTCCACTAACTTAATTACTATGACCCATTTTATTATTGTTGTGGTTTATAGCTGTTATTTTCCATTTATTTTCATCTCAGAGACAGACAATTCAGAAACACAACAGGTCTCATGCCAAAAAGAAATTATCTGTCAAAGCTGATTACCATCTGCAAGAGTATATATCTTCATGTCTTTGCATTATTTAACCTCCTTAGTGGCCTAGATTATAAGCAACCCAGATGTTTTTACTGACTGTAAAAACATCCGTTTTCACTTAAGATGTAATTGCAGCTCCTACATTGTCACTGAAGTGGTATGAATTCATCAAAATGACTTCACTTCATTAATGAGTTACATTAAAAAAAAAAAAAAAAAAAATTCCAAGGGATAACCACAGAAAGAGATTATGTCTTTATTTTGTATATAAAATCCATCCGTAAATAATGTTAGTTACAGTCTAAACAAGGTAATTAGACATACCAAACAATCCAAACAGCAGAGACAATACTACAATGGTTACTATTGCCACAGTAAATCTTACGTCTCGTTGTGCTGTAGACACTTTTTGGTTGCAAATATCGACCACAATAAAGTTTCACAGACATAAAGTTATGTGTATTTGAACGTTATTACAGTTTGATCCAAATAATAGTGGATGTACAAGTAGATAAACAAAGCAACATAACTTCTGCAACAAGCCGGCTTACAGTTTTTGGCACATCACCAGTTGTACTGTACGTGAATTGGTTGGAATTACCTTTTAAAGACAATGTAAAGTGTCCGAACAGTTCCAGATGATGATTATCACGTTTAACAGTCTACATTTGCCAGAAGCTAACACTAAGAAACCGCTAACATTATGCTAACTGGCCATTTACTGACTCGAATATTACTAATTAAACGAGTGTGTACGTCTATCCTAATCATTTAAAGCTACTTTGATAACAACAACGTCATTTGTTGCTACAAAATCACTTTTAACGGACGTCTGAGTTTTATCGCCATGTGTGTTTGGGTGAACAGACGTTAGCTTGTGTGCTAATGCTACCTCAGCTACATCTAAATAACCAGCTGGCTGTTGGATGGTCTGTCGCTGAAACCTCCAAATTTTGTTTCTTCTCTGTGTCTGAACAGAATCTCCGACTTCTTGCTTTGCTTCCTTTAATGTTTAAAAGTCATCTTACCGTTGTGCTTCCCGACGTCTCTTAAATCACTGTCGTTCTTCTGGCGGAAAACTTCCCACACAACCGGCGCCACTTCCGGGTCACGGATCACTTCTGTATTTTACGAATCACCGTTTCCGGCTGCCGGTTCGCCTCCTGTTGGTGATCAATGTTACTGCCGCCAAGCGTCTGATCTTTTGAATCCGTTATTTTGGAGAGTTAGGACAGAAAAAAAATACAGTTATATGACATATGTAAGAGGCAATATAGTTAAATACATAAATAAAAATTATGTATATATAATACCAATCTTATTTTCTCTTTTTAAGTAGATGTGAATATAGATTGTACAAAGACCAGCAGGAAAAAGGAGTTAAATTAGAATTTGAGAAAAATAAAATAACACATTAGGAAAATAATACTTATTATCAATTCATAAAATGGTGAAAATAGGTGAAAATAGGTGAATTAAATACAGAGTTTTTTTTTAATGAACACAATGTATAATCTAGTTTGAGATAAAGAGAGAAAATCTTGAAATTAAGATTTTAAAAAAGTTATACACCGTATTGCAATCCTAAATATACATAATTTTACTTTCAAATACTGGGAAACATTATAATAACATTATTTATTTTCAATGTGTCCTTTTTTTCCCTGCGATTTCACCAGATATTTTCTATAATTAACAAAACAGGGAAAATAGTAAAATTGCTTTTATATTCTTTGAACATTTCTCTGACCTTAATATGCAAAAGTTTTACTTTCAAAAATTGGCAAATATCTCTAAAATAAAGATATTTTTTACTGATTGAGATACAGTTTGTTTTTAAACTGTCAAACACAAAATAATGAATTATTATTTGTAACAATAAAAAATATTTTTATATTTAATTATTTTTTATTTTTCAATTATTTGTTTCATTTTTTTTCTCATTTTTTATAATGTTGCATTAAAAGCAAAGGAAATATACACAGAAAAATGTATGCAGTAGGAATCCCGTTATGCCGTTGCTTTAAAAGTGACATTATAAAAAATAAGTAAAAAATAAATAAATAAAAATAAGAGTGAAAAAGTAATAAAATAATACATTAATGAATTAAAACATTAATAATAACAAAAATTAATTAATTAATTTATTAAATTATAATGAATACAATTATGATATAATAAAACAATTACAATAATGAATAATTTTTTTATTATTATTTTCTTTATTTGTCTTTATAGTTCTACTTTTTTTTGCCTTTTTTTAATTGATTTATTTTTGATTAATATTGCTTTATATTGCCACATCATTTGTTTTTATTTTTTTTATTTTTCTTTTTATTTCGACTTTTATTTTATTATTCTTTTACTGATTTATTTTTTTTTGTAATTTGGCACTCTCACTACTCCATAGCAGGCTAACTATCAGACTAAACATGAATTGCATTTTTAACCATAGTTTGTGTAGTACTGATAGAAAGGTTTTATTACTGACTCATGCTAAAATTCAATCCTACTTTTTTAACTACAACCACTGAAAGATATTAATCTACATTCACATTCATCAGACAGGACAAATGAGGGGATTCCAACATCTGACTTGGAAAAAACAGTCAGTCTTTGTTAAAGTAGTTTCATAAAGGTCAGTTCAAGTTTGCTCAATCAGGATATTTATTCAAACATCCAATAACCAAAAAGGTCACACAGCTCCCATAAACAAAAGCAGAGAGAGAGCCTGGTAAGACATTGCTGATAGACTGAAAGCAAGTAGCAACTAAGTTAAAATGGAATACAATAGTTTGCTACAACCTGATTAAATCCAGGGTGAGAACCACAGGGGAGGAAGAGCTGGCTTCTCTTAATAAGACATGAGCTCCCCTGGAAGTATGATTTGTGATTTTAGGGAGGTGTCACACTGACAGTATGCTATTTTTACATTTCTTTTTCATTATGGATTACGCACAACATTAGGCTATTATTGATGTATTATTCATTCATGAGGGTAATTTATCAAAGATTCACTTTAATAAAGCTACCAGCATGCATGCTGTTCCTGCCATCACCATCAAAACATAGCAGCACAATATCATAACATACAACACTTTGTCATTGAGCATATTATCTAGATGCACAGAAAACAGCAGCAAGTTATTTTTTATTTTTTTTAATCTTTTTTCTTATTTGTGTTATTAATGTTCTTCTTAATAGCTTCCCCAGAAAGCATAGCTTGCGTACTGATTAAATTATAGGCATAATACATTCAGGCAATCAGTCAGAAAAGAGAACCTTTATGTTTAAAATCAATGTCAAGGCTGCAGCTGTATGGACTGCATGTTTTCTTTGTATAAAGGTTTCAAGACTTTCTATCCATCCATTATCTATACACCGCTTAATTCTCACTAAGGTCACGGGGGGCTGGAGTTTATCCCAGCTGCCTTAGGGCGAAGGCAGGGGACACCCTGGACAGGTCACCAGTCTATCACGGGGCTACACTTAGAGACAGACAACCAAGCACACTCACATTCACACCTACGAACAATTTAGAATCACCAATTAACCTCAACATGTTTTTTGTGGGAGGAAGCCGGAGAACCCGAAGAGAACCCACGCTGCACGGGGAGAACATGCAAACTCCATGCAGAAAGATCCCGGTGCCCCCACCGGGACGCGAACCGGTGACGCAACAGCGCTACCAACTGCGCCACCTTGCAGCCTGTTTCAAGATTTTCCTTAAAGATTAGATTAGATAAGATAGAACTTAAGACAATAAAAACTAAAAAAAAAAAAACCTTATTACTGGACTTCGCTAAAAACCAAAATACAGTCAAACAACACCCTGCTTCTAGAACCCTGTTCAGTCTCAGTTATAAATGAAGATGCTCCTTCCACACTGATACAAGGTTATAACAGAAGCTACACATCAAAACCATAACAAGAGGCAAGTTGAACAACTGTTGAATCACAGCAAGATGTAATTCAGTACTTGCCCCCATTTCAGCATACAAATTAAACATTGCAAAGGAGGGTCAGACACCCGCACTGGTGTTGCAGTGTTAATTTAAAGGTCAATACATTTCTGATATTGGGATGTAGAATAGAATAGAATAGAATAGAATAGAATAGATTAGAATAGAACTTTGTTGATCCCTTTGGTGCAAACCTCAGGGAAATGTATAAATAAAATTGACTTTACGGGACTTTAAATGACAGCTGAACCGAGTTTAGTGTTTCACATTACATCATGTCTTAGAAAAAAAGATAAAAGATGAACATATAGAATTTTTTTTTTATTGTTTTTACTGGCAATATGAAAGTTATATGTACATTAGATGTTTGTTTATTTTTTGTGTAACTGTAGGATTTTTGCATGAAGTCCCCCATGGACATCAAATCAATGATCGGTCATATTTTAGTACTGCAAATGTTAGATTTCTGATAAAACCAGGTGTAGTTATATATCATGTCCTAAGAGAACAAGCCCCTTTACAAGATTGTACATTTAGTTTTATAATTACAAAGTCTGAATTTGACTTTATTGAGATGATAGGGATATTTTAAAAGAAATTGTACAGTATTATTTATGGAGTCTCTGACCCCGATTGACCCTACTTATATGTTAAAAATACTGAATAAAAAGTGTGAGGCAGCACTCATCTGTACTGAAAATAAATACATCTTTATTATTCTCATCTCTACAGAGTGACCCCTCCCTGCATCCCACTTACAAGACATCAGTACAAAATACACATCATCATTATTAGACATCAACAAAAATTATTAGACACCAACAGTCAGGCAGTAAAGTGTAATTAGACGTGTGTGAAGGACTCTTAATCAGTAAAAGAAAACATTGAGTGTTGGTCCAGCAGAGCGGAGTTTGTGATCTGTGAATGTGAAACAACAACAAAAAAAAGAATTCTACAAAAGAAGTCAATAAAGTCTGAAGAGAAGGAAAGGTCAAAGGTCTTGTCAATTACAATTTGGAGGATTCATGTGACTGTAAGTTCATATTTAGCCAGCTGTGCTCGCTGAATAACAACTAGATGTGTCTGAAAGCTCCAGATTATTAGTAAGTGGACCTTTGAGCTTTTCAAAGATCAAGAACAAACAACAACAACATACAAAAAGATCAGCTTTAAGCACATTTCATTTCTAATGTGAGTCTATGAGGATATTTTCTGAATCCCATAAAGAAGATTAAAGAAAAAAACAAAACAAAAAAAAAAACATTAAAAAAACCCCCCGCTAATTGGGCATTAGCTCTCTCGGCTAATCAGCTTCCCAGGTTTAAGTTTTTCTGTCCTCAATAACTGACGGTATATTCAGAAGCCTGTGAGATCTCACAGACACCACACACGGGCTTTAATGCTGAAGGAAACAGAGTTTTAGTCATTAGTAATCAATGCGTCAGTGATCAGTGAGTTCTGAGGATTCTGTGTAAATTTCTCTCGATAAAACCAGCGAGCTTCAGATGAATCTGTATCAGACACGCAGTTTGTGTTTGCAGTAGAAGACTGATCACATCTGATATGTTAGCAGTAATTTAATAATATATTACCAATAACCTCGGTGTAGGATCAAAATACAGTATATGTTCACATTATTGCAGGAGGGAAGCTAACATGCTAACGCAGCTAAAGCTCACAAAGCTCCTCCCTCTGACCAGACATTGCATCATCACCATCATCATCACTGTCACCATGACAACTTACCAAAACCTCTGACCTCTAAGTCTAAAAACTTCATCACACTCTGACCTCATCACCTGCTCAAGTACACACACACAAACTTTACCTATTAGCAAGACGTTTTTAGCCCAGCTTAGCACAAAGACTGGAAACAATGGGAAACTGCTAGCAGTCAAGACAAAAAACAAAGCACCTTCCAACAGCTCCAAATCTAATTCAAATGCTTTTTCTTGCTTATTGAATAGATGCAAATATATATAAAGCTAGAAAAGGAGGTGTTTCAGCTATTCATTGACTGACAGAATGCTAACGGACCTGCTAACTTAGCCTCTCTGATCAGTTTGTTGCAGCAATTAATTAATACTAATTATTTTTGGTGACCTCAATTTATATTCTAAAAGTGGTAACACTATTGAACTTACAAACCAAAAATAACCTAACATAAATTTGAAAATTAAATATGCATAAATTAAGACTTTTTTTGTTTGATGAGCTGAATAGCAGGAGACAATGCAGAAACTGACAGATTCATCAGTGAATGAGGCGAAAGTAACAGAGGCACGATGAGGATGATGATGATGATGGTGATGATGATGTAATATAACCCTATATATGTCTACTTTAAAATCCTCTCGAAAAACTTGACACTAAGGTGAAATGTGCATGGAATGAGTAGCTTTAAGGGGAAAACAAACTTCAGTTTGACCATCTGCAAATCTGTTAGTAAAGTTTCTGGAATGCAAAAATTTACTGGAAGCCACAACAGCACAGATTAAGGATGATTTCCAGCATTTTTTAAGGAATGTTAAGGCAGGATCAACTGTACATATTTTGTCTCTTCTCTCTCCATGAAGATAGTTTTGATTTGTGTCAAATTTGTGTCATTTAAAAAAAAATGTCATGCTTCATGGTTGTAAAAAGCACAGACTACATTCTGTTTATCTTCATTTTGGGCAAAAGGCTCACATTTCATAGAGAGAGAGATCTCCAAACCTGGAAAAAATAAGTCAAAAGAGAGGAAATATATACATTATTTTGTAAATTGGTGCTGCAGTTTATATATATAAATTATCCCAAACAGACAAAACACACAGTTTGAAACAGCACGGATTGTTTTAAGTAACAAGATGCTTATTATTGATATTACATAGAATTGCACTGATCTCTGTGGAGTTGTATTATGTGTAAAGAAAATAGAAATATCAACATCAGACTTCTGCAAAAGTTCTGATCTCAGACTGGGATCAGGGGCAACTTAGTGGACAACAGGACTGGGATTAGTAGTGGTGATACTGGTAGTGGTACTGTTAGCAGTATTTGTAGCATTAGTGGCAGTGGTAGCAGTTAGGTAGGTCTGGCCCTTGATCACAACAGTTCAGAAAAGGGAAACACAATAAAAGAAAAGGACACATTTTCACTGATGGGGAACAGACCAGAGTTCCCAGCATGCATCACACCACCTCAGCTGGAGCTGGAAGCATCCTCCTTAGAGGTTTCTTTTCACCACAGGTGAGGTGGGCGGAGTTTATCACATGTAGGTGTTCATTCCATCATCAGTGTTACAGACATACAGTGTTACAGACACACAGTGTTCCACAGTGTTACTCAGCTATACAGTGTTACAGACAGACAGTGGTGTCGCTCAGGCTGTGGTTGCTAAGGCTGGAGGTGAAAGGGGGGCGGTGCTCTGCTGTTGTCATGACTACAGGGGGTGTTGCCTGGACGGAAGGGGCGATTGCTGCGGTGACACGGCAGCCAGCAGCTCGCTGTAGATCTCCCGTCGGACTTCCTGTGCTACGCTTTTTCGAATCTGTAAGACAAGAGAATAAAACAGTTTAAACATCCACCATGTTGACTCAGGCTGCTGTGGGAAAGACTTCAGTGGGGTTACGTTAAACCAGAGAAAAACCCTGAACTCTAAGGTGGTGTAAATCAAACTCTGATGCGATAATGGCAGAATAGACATAGAGGAACTATGTCGTAAAGCTGAAATAAATAGCAATCACTTAGTCAATCTACATAAAATAATTTGTAATTTATACATTTTAATTTTCAAATTTTTACCTACATATTTAAAGAAGCAACACCAAAAGCACAACAAACTTCCAAGAGAGTCAATGCAGAAAAAGGGAATCCAAAAAAAGGAGTAAAAAGGGGGGAAGAGGCTGTCTCATATAAATATAACTGATATGACCCCATTTGTTTGTGCAGCTGACAGATCTTAAAACATTCATAAAACATAACAAGTGCCTTGCTGGAAGAGAGTCTGGTTTCTTCTTCATCTCATAACAATGAATTTCGTACTGCTGTCAAAGCTGCAAGTACAATTTGTATTAAATTGTAGATTTACTGAGAACAGAGAAATCACTGAGAGCATACAAGGTTGTGGACACTGTCCCAGAGAAAAGAAGGGACAATTCTAAAGCAGCCTTCTTCCAACAAGGACTGGAGGGTATTCCAACATCCCAGGCAAGAAAGTACCTGTTGTTGATCAGTTTCTGTGTATAAAATTAGGAAGAATTTGTTGATGACTATGGGATTATGAGAAGCACATTTTTCCAGTCAAATTCAGGGATAAACATAGACAATTTTTCGGAGCTAGAAACTGCAAAAACGGAAAGAATCTTCAGATTTTCCACTTGCTGACTGTCCTTGAATTACTCGTCTATGACATGCCATTCCATTAGCAACATTATTGAATCAAAGCTTTAAATTGTAAAAATTCATCAAAATTCCTTTATTCCATTTGTCTCTTTATCCAATTTGCTCAATGTGATTCTATAAAACACTAAAAATTCTGCACTTCTCAGCCTGAAAATGAAGCTATTAAGGACTGCCCTGCAACCTGCAGTCACGTGACAAAAAAATTCAGCGACTATTCGGCCACTAACAGACAAGTATGGAAACAAATTAAACATCCATCCAGCCATTATCTATACACCGCTTAATCCTCACTAGGGTCGCGGGGGGGCTGGAACTATGCCAGTTGACTCAGGGCGAAGGCAGGGGACACCCTGGACAGGTCGCAAGTCTATCACAGGGCTACACTTAGAGACAGACAACCAAGCACACTCACATTCACACCTATGGACAATTTAGAATCACCAACTAACCTCAACATGTTTTTGGACTGTGTGGGAGAAAGCCGGAGAACCCAGAGAGAACCCACGCTACACAGGGAGAACATGCAAATTCCATGCAGAAAGTTTCCAGATATCTTCTAGCTGTGCAGCCCCAAATTAAACATGTGAGTAGTAAAATATTTAAAGTATGTAGAACCACCATTTTCCCTCAGTATTGGTAGCACCTGTGGAAACTTGGAAATGTTGTACAGGTTGGTATTTTTAAAGAAATTCAACTTTCCTCTCTTTTTGTTCATGACTTAAAGCAATATAACTGTGTCATACTGCACGAAAGACATTTCTGAGTTGTTTCTACTTCTAGTCATGGGTGTGCTGTTTCCGCAGAGATGCAGAAATGTATTTTGCATTGTTTTTTTCACTACAATCACATTAAACACCAACATAAATAAATCACCAAGTTTGACTGTTACCTCGCTGATGAGCTGCTTCAGGTTGCCCACTCTGACTTCTCCCACTGCTCCCTCTTCCTCTGGGGATTCTCCTCCTCTTCCTCCTTCTTCTTCCTCTCCTCCACTGTCTCTCTCTACATCCTCCTTATTCTCCTCCTCCTCCTCTTCCTCCTCCTCCTCCTCAGTGTGTTTGCTGGGTCCAGGACGGAGGGAAGGGGTTATGCTGATTGATGCTTTATACACTCCTTGCCTCCGCTCACCATCTCCCCGTCTGAATGGACTGGACGCCCTGGAAGAGGGGGCGGTGGAGGGGGCATGGCCGTCAGAGCTGATCTCCGATTGGAGGAAGAGCTGCTCTCTGAGGAGGTCTGACATCTGGACAGACATGAAGACATACAGGAAAAGGTTTAACACAAACGTGAGCGGTTTTAGTTTTATATAACAAACTCATGTGTGTGTGTGTGTGTGTGTGTGTGTGTGTGTGTGTGTGTGTGCTTGTGAGCTGACCGGCTCCATGGCTCTCAATGCAGAGGCGGTGGCCAGACTGTCAACACTGCGGTCTCTATGAAGACTCTGCAGAAGAGAACAGCACTGGCAGCATTACTATACAGTCAGAACATGTTGTTTGTCAGTTTAGTCCAAAAATCACATAAACAGTCTTAAATCAGGAATATACAGTATGATGTATGAGTGAATAATAATATACTAGTAAAAAGTTGACACACACCTTCTCCTTCACATTTTGTTAAAGCATACAATTAAACTGAAGCCACCAAAACTATGAAATAAAACATATGGAATTTGGCAGTGAGAAAAAAAGTACAAGCAAAGCCAAAATGTGCTTTCGATTTTAGATTCCTTAAAGTAGCCAACTTTTTCTTTGATACCAGCTTTAACATGCTTCATTCTCTAAGTCAACTTCATGAAGTTGACCACTTGAACCTTTTCCAGTGGTCTTGATGGAGTTTATACATATCTTGAGCACCTGTTTAGGCTACTGTGAGGAATCTAAAATATGAAACATATTTTAATAGTTTGGTGTCCTCAGTATTGTTCTAACCTGTGAAAAAGGGAAAAATTAGGAAAAACTCTCGAATGCGGTTTGCCCAAAAGTTTGCCTTGTATTGTATATACCCTGTGTTGTGTATATATACTCTGTGTTGTGTGTGTATACTCTGTGTTGTGTGTGTATACTTTGTGTTGTGTATATATACTCTGTGCTGTGTGTATATATACCCTGTGTTGTGTATGGTGTGTCAGCTCCATCAATCTGTCTTCCAGCTGTTGCTCCAGCTCCTGCAGCTCCTCTCTGACTGCTGATCTCAGAGACTGAAGCTGCTCCAGTTCCAGCCTGCAAACAAATGCACACACCAGGTTTGCTTTGTATCATAGTATCACACACGGTACGGTCACAGTTTAGCTTACAGTATAACACGTGTTTGCCTTTATCACTCACCTGTCAGCAGGGCTCAGGTGTTTGTAGACAACAGCCTGCTGTTGGAGGATTGACAGCTCCAGATCCATCATCTGACTGCGGAACAAGTTCAGATTCCTTCTCTTCTGCTGAAACTCTGCCAAAGACTGAAAACAGAGAGAGACAAAAAGTGAAGTCCACTCTGCTGCTTCCTCAGTGAAAAAAGACTCAATATACACTGAAAGTTGACAGCATATTTAAGCTTATGCAATGCAAAAAATAGTGGAAAAATAGTAAATCCAGAGCACCTGGTCCTCACATGTTAACACTGACCCAGAGAACATCTTGTATTTTTAAAAAAAACCTGCAATTTTGTGTTTGTGTAATGGAAGTCCCGTAAAAACTGAACATGGCAAGATCGAAAAGTCTAAACTGTAGGTATACAAACGACAAAAAGTACAGACTGCTACACAGAAAGAAGGTAGGCGTGTGATGAGGGTGACAGTACCTGGTGGCTGGGCAGAGCTGCGCTGTGATCACTGAATGCACCCGGAGTGTCGGCTCGGTTCTAGATGGAGAGGACAGTGATATCAAGTAAGGAAGTGGAAGACAATGAACTGACAAAAGGATAAGTTAGAGCACAAATAGAATCTCATTCATGAAAATATAGGAAAGGATGTCGAGGTGGCATGACAGTATAGTGGCTAGTCCTGTCACCTCACAGGTAGAAGGTTCTGGGTTCAAATCTGGGCCTGGGGTCTTTCTGTGAGGAGTTTGTATGTACTCCCTGTGCAATATAGGCTCTCTCTGGGTTCTCTGGCTTCCTCGCACATTCCAAAAACAGGCTAAGGTTAATTGGTGACTCTAAATTGTCTGTAGACCTCACAGCACCTCCAAAATGCACTAATTATCCATCCATCCATTATCTATACACCGGGGGGGGCGTAGGGCGAAGACAGGGGACACTTTGGACAGGTTGCCAGTCTATCACAGGGCTACACTTTCAGACAGACAACCAAGTACACTCACATTCACACTTACAGACAATTTAGAATCACCAATTAACCTCAAAATGTTTTTGGACTTGTGGGAGGAAGCCGGAGAGAGCCGGCCACAGGGAGCACATGCAAACTCCACGCAGAAAGATCCTGATTCCCCCACCGGGATGCGAACCGGCGACCTTCTTGCTGCGAGGCAACAGTGCTACCAACCGCGCCACCTTGCAGCCCATACCAAAAACAATGCATCACAATTTTACAGGCTATGTTTGCCAACAATGTCAAACCTATTTTCCTGCACAACTCATCCTGTGCTGGATATTTAATACCATACTTGAGGGCATATGCATAAAAGTCATCATCTGCAGGCTCTTGGGTTTGTCCAGAATAGTAATGACTCACTCACTTTTATTTTTCCCTCCATACATAAAGAAAATAATCAGGAAAAAACAATCGGCTTATATGACCACAAGTGTTTCTTTCAACATGGGACCTATTTTTATGGCACAGAGGAAGAACAGTAAACATAAAGTTGCAATGAAACCAAGCACAACAGACTACAACTACAGGTTACGTACCAGAATCTTAAGAGGGTGGGACTAAAGAGGACTCACCTGACTCAGACTCTGAACCGTTCCCCGGATCTCATGCAGAACTCTCCTCAGTTGCATCTCGGTGGTGCTCGGGTTAACACCCGGAGCAGCAGGAGTACCGACCCTCGGGTGGAAGTTGTGACCAAGGCCAGCGAGGAAGCCCGGAGCAGAAGGTGCGAGACCAGGGTGGAGACTGTGTTCATGGGCCAGAGGTGAATACTGGGTGACATGATGAGGGAACAGCAGGTGTGGGCTGATGTTGTACCCATGGTAACCAAGGTAAGGTGAGGCAAATGGTGAGCCATGGAGGGGAGGAGTGGCATTGTAAGGTGACTGATGACTGTATGGATGGTTGTAGCCCTGTTGGTGCATTGTGGGAGTTCCAGGATGTAAGTGACCCAGACTGATGGCGTGAGGTACTGTGGAGGTTGAGGGATGAACCAAGTTGGACATGCTGCTGGGTGGATGGACTAGGGGGGTATTAGGTTGGTGGAGATTGGTTAGACTAGAATGGTGGATTAAGGAGGGGTTGTGGTAGTGATGGAGGTTAGGAAGACTTGCATATGGATGAAGAGGGGAGGGGCACTGCGGCGGAGGATTTAAAGTGAAAGGGCACGGGCTGGAGCACTGAGCTGAGGGGTTAGGGAACATCATCTGCCCTGGGTTCCAACTTTGCTGGTTCTGGTTTGCGCCCATATTCTGCTGGAAATGGCCAGGCTGCTGCTGATTGGAAGACAGATCAGGAACACTCTGGGTGCTCCATGAGTGGACATGGTCTCCTGGGGACCAATCAGGAGGAGGGCTGGAGCTCTGTAGGGAATAGGACGACCGCATCAGGTGGCGAGGGAAGGGTTTGGGTGGGATGGCAGGTAGTGGATTTTTGTGAGAGTCAGATGAGGAGCTGGGGTTTATGCTCAGAGTTGATAAGTAGTTGGTTTGTCCTTCCTCCTCCTTCTCCTCGTCCTCCTCCCCCTCCTCAGCAGCATCCTGGGTGGTTTTGGAGGGTTGTCTGGGTTTGGTGTAGTAGGACGTCTGGCCTCGACCAAACTGGATTCTGACAGAAGGTACGGCCGTGGAAGGCGTGAGAAGCGAGGAGGGTAGGGAGGAGGACCTCTGCAGGGGGATGAAGCTACGTCTTCCTTGTCCCCCCCCTGCAGTTTGTGGCGTTGTGTTGCTCGGAGAACCTGTCCGGCTTAGCTGTTGCTGTTTGGCTCGGTTCAGAGCACTTAGAAGTGGAGAGGATGGAGCAGGAGGACAAAGTGAACCAGAAACATCCGAGAACAGAGCTTCTTCTTGGACCTCAACACTCTCAACTCCCTCTGTGGGTGGATCTGTGTCTGTGGTGGTTTCAGACAGGTTCTGAGTCTGTTGGGGTACTTTCTCTGAAACCGACAGATTCTGTATGTTTTCTAATCCTGGTTGTGGTTCTTGTTCAGCAGCAGATATGCTCTTGGAAGTCTCTGGTTCTGGTTTTTGATCAGTCTGGTCCCTACTCTCTACTTGCTCCCCGTCCTCGGTATCATCCTGCTGCGCTCCCATTGGTCTGCTCCGTGGGAGATGGTGAGCTGTGTACTGTGGAACCTGCTCTGGACTTCCTCCAGTGTCTTCTTCCCTGGAATCGCTACTTCCATCAGCCTCAGTGGCACCACCAGGTACGCCTCCTGCCCCTTTGCCATCTGGCAGATCAAATGCTGGTTGGTCCATTGCGAGGGGTGTGGCCACATCTTGTGAAGGATGTGATGTCACAGTGGTCTCACTGTCACAGCTATCGCTACTGTCCTGCACCTAAAGATGATTAATTAAAATGTTATTATTAGTTGCAGAAGTACATGGCACCACCACCTATCATCAATAATAAACACAAAGTACATTTATCACCTCAAGGAAAAACCACAACACTACTAAAGTACTTTAGTAAATTTTAACCTTTGTCTACCTTAAATAGGTGTTCTACAAATGTGTTGTCTTGCATCCTCCCAGGTGTCCATTTAAAGATAACACCAGACTCACCTTCACCTTTTCTGCTATTTTATTCATCAGAACACCTTGTTGTGCACTGATGCTTATCACAACATGTGCTTGACTAGAGCGGATGTGTATCTGACGACATATGAGAACCTGAAGCAGCTAAAGTGGTTCTGACAGAGTTTTTTTTTCTGAGACTGGCTGATGTGTAAACTTTTATTACACACAATAAAGTCATTTTTTTTAGATTGCATGTGATTAATCTGCGGAGATGTTTTTCCCCTAGGTGTGATAAAGCTCTGAATGGAATTTTATGAGCTTGAAATAAATTAAAGGTCAAAATTGGGGATCATAAATAGAGATAAACAGAAATAAAGTCAGTAGAGATGTGTGACAGACCTTTAGGTAGCTGTTGGAGTCGGCGGAGGGTTCCTCAGCAAAACCACTGCTGTCTGACTGCTGACTGCCTGTCCTCAACAGGTCTGAGAAAGACACGATAAAAAACACCACGATTGTTTCTGCAGTATCACATCTGTCCTGCAGGTGGCAGAGTGGAATCATTTATTCTGAGCATAAAGCAGTGGGATTAAAAGACAGGACAGTCTGTCCTCACAGGAAACATGTTTATAGCAGACAAGAATAGGCTGTGTATATACTCGACATATACACAAGGCATGACACAAAAGATTTATATTCTCAAATCCTACAGAAAGACACTGACTGGAGACTCAATACAGATGCTCCTTGTTTTCTCATTCTCATTTTTAAAGTCTACCTAAATCCATTGAAGGGTTTGCAAGGCCTGATTTGTCTTAAAATTGGCAAAATTAAAACATTTACTAAAGCCAGAAACTGTAAAAACAGAAGGAATCAAAAGATTGTTGACGGTCTTTAAACTAATGATGTGCGGTTCCATTGGGAAAAATAATCAAATCAAAGCTTAGAAGTATATTTTATCAAAATCCCTTTCTCACATGTCTTATTTAAAAAAGATGCCAAAAATTAAAAATTTGCACTCAAAAAAATCTGGAAAAAACAAAAAAGAATTACAAAAAAAACCCCACACAAACCACACTCATAAAGGGCCTCTACCTCAAACCATGGTTGTGTTGTTTCCTTAGAGGTGTAGAACTTTATATTGCAGTAAAAAATGAGCCCACAGTGAGTGAAAATGTTGAAGTGGCAAAAAAACACCCAGAAACTCTTTGGGGTTTAGAAAGGGTTTAGTTTAAAACAAAATCCACACATCTTTCAGTGCAGAAATGTTGAGCTGAGGAGAATATGAGGATTCAGCAAAGAAATCTTTAATGTTTAAGTCTTTAAGGAAAAAGACAAATAGAAAAATGGAAGAAATAGATCAAGATCAAGAAAGACCTCACATCGTGCATTTTGTCAGGTAGCACTGAATGTAAACACAACATCAGTTTGTTGACAACAAAACTCAGCAGGGCACCATTAAGTTAAGTGGGTTGATAAGTTCATAAAGAAATCAGAATCAGAACTCACCGGTGGCTCTGGACGTTCTGGATGGCAGAGCCTCATCTTCGTTACTCAGAATCTGAATGACAAACAACAGACTGTACTTTAAAGGAAAGAAACAAAGAGCTGCTAAGAGTCAGTGCTTTTACTCAAAGAAAAAACAGAGGCCTCCCAGTAGCTATTGAATCACTGGGCAGATTTATGCAGATACAGGGGGTCAGCATGCTTGTTCTTGTAGCAGCAAACCTTCATTAGTGTCCTAAGAAGGTAGAAGTCGCTGTAAAGGGTAATACAAACTGTTTTTCTGAGAGATTTTTGACATGTACTTGTCATCTCTACTAGTCCTTTTTGTTTTTTTTTGGCAACATTAGTGAATCATGAACTCTACAAACAGCAGATCAGATCACACAAACCTCCGGTGGTCTACATGTTGGGAATGAATCACAGTTAGTCCACCTGCTGACATCTCTGTGCAGCTGGTTTTAAAGACAGTAGCATCACAACTGAGCTCTGAGTCTCAGTGTAGCCTAATCATATTTCATGACGTTTCTATTCTGGTGTTCTGATGCAATGAGAACAGGATTTATTTGCATGAATTTGCCTGCTAGAACACTTTTCTGGCATTGTTCACAAGCAACAGGGGAAGCAGGTGAGAAGATGGAGCTTGTTAATATGACAACATCACAAACCCATAAATATGGAAGGTGATTTGAATGATCAGAAATGACTAAAAAGGCATCAATAACAGCACTGTGACTGATCTGTGTGGGAAGAGTCCACCCTCTGATATGATCCAATACAAGCAACCCCGGAGAACCTCTTACCTCCTCCATGTCAAAAGAGTCTGCGTTTTCAGTGCGAAGCTGGGCCAGCTGAGGCGGGGCCAGGGTAAGAGGAGCTTTGTCTGGGGTGGAGGTGAAGTTCTTTTCCTCTTTGACCACCTGAGTTCTCTCCTCTTCTGTTCTCTGATTGGTTGACTGACGATCAGCTGACTCTGGCTGATGCTCTGGTCCGGCGCTGTTCTGTTCAGGACTGATGGGAGGTCAGACGTTACTTAACAGCAAACAGAGCTGATCTCAGCCGGGGAGAATTAAACTTTAATGGCTAGCTGTTCATTGCTTTATAAACTATTTTACAAATATTCAGATGAATCATAAGATATACAATATTTTATTTGAACTTAAACATGTGGTTTCCAGTTTATTTTCCCCCTGCAACCTCCTGTTAGTTTCAGTTATTATGACAGTTTCTCCTAGAACATCTTTAGTGTTATCATGCATTTAATGAAAAATTTTGTACATGAGAACTTTGATTTTCACTTTCCGTGTCCCATTAATTGGCTTGTGACCTCTCAGATTTTGTCCAGTGACCCTTTGGATATAGCTCTTAGTTTGGAAACCACTGAACTAAACTGCCTCCAGTAACTCTATATGAAGTAGTTAAAAGTAGTATCACCTACAGTAGCTTAAGGCGTAAAACCAGTGCAGTTTCCATTAAGGTGTAGGACTTTATATTGCAGTAAAAAAAATGAGCCAGCAGTGAGTAAAAATGTGACGAAAGCAAATAAAATGCCAAGAAACTGTTACGGGCTCAAATAGAATATTCATTCCACTGCTGCGCGCTGGTTAACATGTTAGCTAACTAACATCAGCTGCTGTTACCTGTTGTCTGTCAGCCGATCTGACTCTGCGTCCCCGTTGGTTTCCTCGGTAACCGTCGCCAGGGAACAGTTGTCTTTCTTGCGCATGTGCTTCTGGCTGACTGTTTCCGTCTGGTGACCAGAGTTGGTACTGCAGCTGTCCTGTTCTGGACCAGCGTGAGCTTGTCCGTTGGTGTGTGCGTGATCGGAGGCGGTTGTGTGTCCGTTCAGTTGCGTGTGCTGGTTAGCCGTTTGCGCTTCAGGCGACTCAGGTGAGGCCGCGAGCAGGTTGTGTTTGCTGATGCTCTTCTTCAGGAGCTGTTTGGCGACGTTCACGGCAGACCTGCTCTTCTTCTGAGGAGGAGACTGCTCACCTCCACCTCCTCCTACTCCGCCTCCTTCTACTCCCTCTCCTCCTGAGGGTAATCAGAGTAAAACGCACCTTCACTCATTTGTACAGCTTGTTTTGTTATTGCTAGTATCCATCAACCAAGTGTTCATCCCAAATTGACAGTAAAAACTTCCATATTTGCTTTGACAAACAAAGTGGAAACTACTTTTTTCCTAAATCTGTTAAAATAAAATTTATCTGATAGTGAGGCAGTTGACTAACATGAAACAAAAAGTCAAATGTTTTCAATGCTGAAAGCATGTATTTATCATCTAAAGAGGCACAAATGTTCCTGGTTGAAGGATAAAGTTAATTAAATATGACTAGAATTCATGTGGCCCTTTTTATCTCAGGAATAAAACTAATAAATAAAATAATTACTGATTATCCATCTCTTCAAATATTCACCTCTTCAAAAGTCAAAACACAGATTTTGATATTTTTTCTGCTAATTGAGCCATTCGTAATTTACCACACACAGTCTATCTTTATCATACATTTATTATACATTATACATTCATTTTACTATTTAACAGGGAAAATTCAGTTTGATGTTGTTGCCATGCTTACCAAGCTCTTTGGAGCTGATGCGTTGGACGGGTTGTCCAGAAACCTGACTGTAGAGCTGGAAGAACTCGTTAGCAACTGTCGTCAAGACCTCGATCTGACGGAAACGACCTGAGAAAGACGAAAGCAAAACAACAGTCACAAAAAGATTCACAATTAAAGCATAAAAAGAAATAAATAAATAGAACAGACAGAAATAACAGAATAAACCACCAAATTAATTGAACACAGTATGTTAAAAAAATATCAAGGGAAAAGAGGCAGGTTTTAAATTTTTTATTTTAAGTTTCAGTTGGACATTGAAAGAGTTAAACTATTCCAGAGCTTCAGGGCAAAGACAACAAAAGCTTGGCCTACTTTTATCTTAAGTTACTCTCTCATACTGGTTATCTGATCTGAGAGACTTTGTATGGATGCCCCAAACCAGAAACGTACTCTGAAAACTAATAACCATTTTTTAATTTTTTTTTTTTACTTCAAGTCCATCATTGGTCATTGATTGAACCGCTAACAATTTATCTGTCTGTCAAAGTCTGGAACGTTTTAACATGAACAATAATCCCTTCCTACCTTAAAATGGCTCATATGTAACTCTACAGCCTCCATTCTCTTGAACTTGTGGATCTATGAAGTCACTGTCTCTCTCAAAACTCACTCTTCTGCTGCTGTATGGAGCTCAAGCACACCAGCTCACCCACAACTCTGTTCAAACACTGTAAAACTACTCTGCATTACATATTGGCAAGTTGAACAATTGAACTAATTCAGTCATAATGTTCGAACCAAAAACGGATTCTGAAGCAGAACAGTCTTACAGAAAGTTCCACTCTGTAAGCTGACAGGACTAATTCTTTATGTCTGTTACATATAAAACTCTGGAAGCCTGAATCTGTACTTTTTAAATAATCATTGGTGTACTGCAGTTTCCAGTTAGAAATGCTCCAGCAAGCCATTGCCGGCTTATTTTGCTCATGACATGTTAACAATGTAAACAAGGGGGGGCTTAACTCCACACTGAGCGAGCACTTTATTAGGATATACTCTGTCAGGCCTCCCTTTGCTCTCACACAGCCTCAGTTCTTAATGTCACAGATTCCACAAGATGCTGCTTTAAGATTCTGCTCCATGTTGACGTCACATCATTTCTGCACATTTGTCAGCTGCACGTTCACGCTGCCAATCTATTATCCTACCACATCCCAAAGGATTGGACCCAGATTTGCTGAGTGAAGAGGAAGTTCACTAAAACTCACTGTCATCTTCTTGAAATTAATTTGAGTTTGCTTTGTGACGTGATGCATTATTCTGCTGAAAGCAGCCTTTAGATGGTACATTTTTGCCATAAAGGTCAGCAGCTATATTTAAATAGTCTGTGGTATTTAAGCAATGATTGGCTATGGCCCAAAGTGGGGTAAGAAACATTCTCTGTACCATCACACCACCACTAACCTGGACTGTTGACACAATGCCGGTTGGCTCCATGGACTGCTGACAACAAATTCTGAGCTACCATCTGCAGCCTTTTATGCTTGTTTTGCCAAATTTAAGAACTTTCAGCAGTAAATGACTGAAGAAAAAAAAGCTTCATGTTGGGCCTGAACATGGACGTCAGAGCTTCCTCCTCCTGTGGTTGTGTAAGTCGAGCTGTCAGTCTCATCGCTAACAGGATGATGACTTGCATACTTTCCCTCCTCCCCTCCTCTCCTCCATCGCTGGCTGTCTAAATACTTGTCAGTCTGTTATGAAACTCAGACTCCTGTCTTCCATCTGTCGCTCTGTAAACACCTTCGGGACTCGCTCTAATGTCATCACCTGAAATACAGCACAGTCCTGTTCTCTCATTTTCGCTCACCTCTGACCTCTCACTTCTTAAAAAAGACCTTTGGCTCATAAATTTCGATGGTGGTGTTCGGTTACATCACAGCCGCGACGATCTGGTGATTCTCATTCTTATTTAATCTTGGATGACAGACTGAAACATTTGCTCAGGATGGAAAACCATTGTAACTGCTGCAGCAGTGAGTTTACGAATATTGTGACATTTTGTAAACGCTGACTAGCATCAGCGCATTTTCAGGTATTTTACACAGACGGATAAGAAACATGAAGAGACAGAAGGAATCACACCTTCAACCGGGACATTGTGATTACACAGCAAGTTTCTCAACCAGCAAATCTTTACAGTCAGATGGATTCTGAGCTGCTGCCATCAGAAAGGTACTTAGAAGCCTTTTGTCCATAGCAGCAAAGGTACATGCAATACAGTCCAACAACAAAGAAAAGACAAAGAATAAAATTGTCCAGATCAAGGATTTTCAAACATGTAACCTGAGAGTTAAAGTGCGTCATGGTGGGCGAGGGGTGAGACGATGATCCAGCATGAGCATGTTATCCACGAGGTCAGCAGGCGCGGCAAAGGCAGTAAACGGACTTGAAAGCTTTTGATCCCAGTTGCAACAGTTTGCATCAAAAACCGCACTCCTTCTTAAGCGAACACACACAATACACAGACTTACACACTGAGCTTGAACTACTCTGACATATAGCATTCAACACAGCACATATTCGCCACACTTCTAAGGTTTCTTCAGTATCAAAGGAATCCAGTGAAAGCTGTTTGTACATCCTGTAAAAAATGAACCGCTAATGGTCAAGTCATCATGCTTTTACTGGTGTTCTAATGTAAACAGATGGATTTAAAGAACTTAAGCTTCAGCCCACAGTTTAATATCAGTATAGAACTGTAGAGCCATTTTAGCTCCTACTTTTGGTTTTATTGCCCTTTTATTATATGATTCACTCCCAGTGCTCTCATCATATATACAGTGCTCATCACTTAATGTCATACCACTTTATAGAATATCTGTTTATAATCATAAAATATCGAAGTCCTGAATCACTTCCTATATAACCTATAGTAAAACAGCCCGTTTATTGTCATAGAATAACGTCATAATCCCGGTTTTTGTCACAACGAAATTCCCTGAAATTGATTCCTTTTGCCCGTTTAAAGTCACGGTCGGCCAATCGTTACAGCTCACTGGTCACGTGAGGCAGATTATCACACACCAGTCAGGCAATGTGTTTTTTTGTTTGTTTGTCAATTACCTGCTAACCTGAGATCTGCTTCACTGAGTTATTCACACACTGTCTGACATTAATTAGGGCACATCAAAGAAAATTGCATTGTTGCAGAGCATGTCACTCATAACTGAATTGCTCAGCTAGTTATCATAAGTTAATCCTCATGCAGATTGTACTGGTCCAGTACATAGGCTAGTTTTCAAACCCAAACTCGCCGCCATCTTGAAGCCAGCTTTTTGGATTATCCCAGACATAGTTATTATTCCATCCTGGACTGAGGGTATGATAATAAATGGGCAGCACTGTATTAGGTTTTTTTTTCAGCAAATTAATGACGGTCTCACATGTCCTCTAAATGTGTCTTTCAATTCAAAATACTGCAAAGATAATTTATTTCACCATGACTATATAACCCCTGGTTTTAGACCTGTTTGAAACTGGCAGTTTCATTTGATGCCACTTTCAGGAAGACGACTCTCTCTGCTTCTGTGTTTGACAGTGTAGAGCAAAAGCGCATGGCAGCCAACACACATGTGATTAAGTGTGTGAAACCAGGACTTTGTATTGCTTCTAACTTTCTATGTAAACAATCTTTTGACATGTAAATACTACAGACTTCACAGCACAGCCTTGTTGTTAACTCGTGTTTATGGTGAGTATGTCATACTCCTTCCACTGTCTGACAACAAAAATAGAAAATATGTAAATGAGAACAGCTTTATTGGGAATTTCCATGTATTTGTGAGCACAGAGAGCAGGAGAGAAGCAAACAGATGGAAACACTGGCTGAGTTTAGGTTTTAATGAAGAATAACAGACAACATCACAATTTGTTTGTTTCAAATGGTCCTAAGGTTTCCAACTAGCTGCATAATATGCTAACACGAAGGATTTTACAATCGATGTGATGACATTTCATCCATCCATTATCTATACACCGCTTAATCCTCACTTGGGTCGCAGGGGGGCTGGAGTCTATCCCAGCTGACTTAGGGTGAAGGCAGGGGACACTCTGGACAGGTCACCAGTCTATCACAGGGCTACACTTAGAGACAGACAACCAAGTACACTCACATTCACACCTACGGACAATTTAGAATCATCAATTAGCCTCAACATGTTTTTGGACTGTGTGGGAAGAAGCCGGAGAACCCGGAGAGAACCCACGCTGCACGGGGAGAACATGCAAAGTCCACGCAGAAAGATCCCGGGTGTATTCACTGGGACGCGAACCGGTGACCTTCTTGCTGTGAGGCAATGGTGCTAACCAAGCCACCTTGCAGCCCGTGATGACATTACAGTCAAAAATAAAAGAAATCTACTGGTCAGTTTCTCAGATGCAACGAGTGCATGGAAACTCTTATGTTCACTCTTGTAGCCAAAAGCAGAACATTTGGTGCTCTTTGCGCTTAGCAGAGACATTTTAGAGTTAGCAGAAGGAGCTCTAAAAATTACATTAACCTGGCAAACCACAAGACAGCTGCTCTTTCAGAACAGCTCACCTCACAAGCAGCTGGCAGTGAGGAGGCAGGATTGTACAAAGCTTGAGCTAGAAGACTGTTTGTTCCTGAGTTGGAACATAGCAGCTCAGTAAAATTCTCACTGACTTGTAAAGCTGGGAGATTTTCCAGTTGCGGGTGAGCTTGAGAAACGGCAGCAGTAAAGGTATCCACATTGTAGCAGCTTTTACTTTACATCTGCAGGTTTATTACACCCACAGATCACAATACATATGGATTTCCACCATATCGTACCTTTTCATCTGGGGGAACAATAACAACTTGAATTGGGTTCATGCTTCTCAGAGTCTGCTGAAAGCATGGCAGTGCCTTGTGAAAATTTTAGCCAGAGCAATTTCACACATCAATAATATTCCACAGTGAAGTTTTCAACTTGTTCTTCTGGCCTGAAGCAGACAAAAAAATCAATTAACGAACATTTAAAATAAGCTTCAAAAATGCTTGAAGAAGCTACAAATAAATAACAAGAAGGTATGAAGGTTTAAAGGTATAGTAAACAAAATGATTG